ACAAACCACAATCCCAGAGAACTTAGACAACAATGCAGACACTAAGAGAGACATACATAGATCTAATCTACATGGGAAGTAGAAAGTAGAAAAAGACAAGATCTCCTGAGTAAATTGGGAGCATGGGGACTTTGGGGGAGGACTGAAGGGGGGAGGGGAGAGGCAGGGAGGGGAGCAGAGAAAATGTAGAGCTCAATAAATATCAATAAATAAAAAAGAAAAAATTATTATTATAGGCAGGGTGGTCGTGGCACGTGCCTTTAATCTCAGCACTCAGAAGGCAGGAGGATTTCTGTGAGTTCGAGGTCAGCCTGGACTACAAAAATTAGTTTTAGAACAGACTTCAAAGCTACAGAGAAACCCTGTTTCAAAAAAACAAAAATTATTATTTTTTTCACGATAGTGATTCTCTGTTATCATCTTGGCCGTTATCATCTGTTATCATTCTGGGACTCACTTTGTTAACCAGACTGGCCTTATACTCAGAGATCCACTTGCCTCTGCCTCCTAAGTGCTGGGATTAAAGTTATGAGGCATCACATCACCTGGCAAAAAATTATTTCCTTAAAGATAGGATTTCACTAGATTCACTATAAAGATCAGTATGTTCTGGGACTCATAGATATACCAGCTTTTGGTCCCCAAGTGCTGTGATTAAAGGGCTTTATTACCATTTTCTCAATGGTGGACAGGATGGAATCCAGGGCCTCAAGTATGCTAAGTAAACATTCTCTCACTAAACTCTATCTTCTTTATAAACAGAAGTTTCTGTCCCACCTGGTCTCATAGCTGTTCAGTCCCAAAGAAACACGCAGAGGCTTATATTAATTATAAACTGTTTGCCTATTAGCTCAGGCTTATTACTAACTAGCTCTTTCAACTTAAATTAACCTATAATTCTTGTTATGTTTAGCCACTTGGCTTGGTACTTTTCTTAGTAAGGCTTTCTCAGCTTGCTTCCTCCGAAACTGGCTGGTGACTGGTGCTCTGCCTTTCCTTTTCCCAGAATTCTCTTAAGCTGGTCTCTCTGCCTATACTTCCTGCTGGTTGCTGGCTAATCAGCGTTTTATTAAGTATGAGTGACAAATCTTTACAGTGTACAAAAGCATTATCCCACAACATCCCCCCCCCTTTTTTTCTTGCCTGAAGATCAGAAGGTAAAACTAAGCCACTCTAGAGGCCAGGCAGGGGAGTCACACATCATTAATCTCAGGATTTGGGAGACAGAGGCAAAGGGATCTCTGTGAGTTCAAGGTTACCTCGGGCTACACAATATCAATGCAGAAACAGACCCAGGTGGTGGTGGGTCACACACTTTTAATTCCGACACTGAAGGGGAATATAAAACGGGAGGAGACAGACGCTCAGGGCTTAGTCTGCAGTGTCCCAGCCTTGGTAGAGGTAAGATTTTTCTAGTGGCATGCAGTTTTGCTTTTCTATTTATTTATTTATTTATTTATTTATTTATTTATTTATTTATTCATTCATTCATTCATTCATTCATTCATTCCTTTATTTATTTATTTATTCATTCATTCATTCCTTTATTTATTTATTTATTTATTTATTTATTTTTTGGTTTTCCGAGACAGGGTTTCTCTGTGGTTTTGGAGCCTGTCCTGGAACTAGCTCTGTAGACCAGGCTGGTCTCGAACTCACAGAGTTCCGCCTGCCTCTGCCTCCCGAGTGCTGGGATTAAAGGCGTGCGCCACCACTGCCCGGCTCAGTTTTGCTTTTCTGATCTTCGGTTTGAACCCCAGTATCTGTCTCTGGGTTTTTATTATTCATGCTACACTCCAGTTTAAAAAATTTCTATTTATTCTCAAATAAATACTCATTTATATCTGGATCTACAATTTAATATTTTAATTCCTATGAAAAACAGGAATAAACGAAACATATCTTTTAGGGATTTTTTTAGTTAAGGATATAATGGGCACAAACCCCATTATTTACAAAGAACAACTGTATCAGTTACTTCTTGCGTTGCTGTAACAAAAGTCCCAATAAAAGCAAGGTCAGGAAATGTCTTAGTTAGGGTTTCCATTATGAAGAGTCCCCTTGACAACTCTTATAAAGGAAAGCATTTAGCTGTAGTGGCTCACTTATAGTTCAGAGGTTTAGTCCATCACCATGGAAGCGAGGCAGCATGTGGGCAGACGTGGTGCTCGAGTTGTAGCTGAGAGTTCATACATCTTGACTCATAATTCCAGCACTCGGGAGGCAGAGGCATGTAGATCTCTGTGAGTGTGAGGCCAGCCTGGTTGACACAGTGGATTCCAGGACAGCCACAGAGAAAGAAAAATGTATTCTTAGGGTTAGACATGAAGCTCAGTGGTAGAATGTTTGCCCCAAATGTACAAGGTCCTAGGTTTGATCCACAGTACTAGGACAAAAGAAAAAATCTGATATTCCAAAATTGTACATACACTGTATGATTTCTAAATCTATATATTTCGACCAATATTTTAATTGTAAAGTAAAAGCTTCTCTAGTTGTTATTTTAATTTTTATTCCTTGTCGGCATTTCAAAGTCAGTATGTCCTAACCAAATGCATCTACTTTCTCTCAAATGTTGCTTGTGACCCTGCATTTCCTACGTTGTCAAAGTTTCTACCATATTGCTGAAGTTCTAAACGTTAAAGTCACGTGGGAGTCTTCCCTCTTCATGAACTCCACAATGGATTAATCCCCAAGTTCTGATGAATTTGATCCCTAAACAATGCCTAGCATGTGTCCTTTCCTTACACCGAACACTGCGGTTCCACAGTTCATGTTCTTACCGGCACTAATGCGACAGCCCCTTCACTAGCATATCCCTTTAATCTTTCCTCGACAATATTGTCAGAAGCATTTTAAAAAGCAAACAGACTGATTATACTTCTCCTTAGCTCAGAAGTCTTTGATAAGTATGTGTAGCACATACTTGTAATCACAGCCCTTGTGAGGCCAAGACAGGAGGTCCTTAGTTTAAAGCCAGTCTGGCCTACACAGTGAGTCCCTAAAACAGACCGACAAATCTTTAATGACTTCTTCTTACTTATAGAACAATACAACTTAAGCCATTGAGCATAAAGACTCATAATTTGGCCTCTGCTTATTTGTGCTGTCGTCTCTATTCCCTTTCTTCAGCTTAGTCTCGGGTTCAAACTGGCTGCTTCCTCGTGTGTCAGGTCGTGCCAGTGCACAGGCCGTGCTAGCTGCTGCCCCCTGCCTTCTCGCTTCTTCTTCAGGGCTTTATTCATCCTTTAAATTTTAGCTCTCACTCTTTCCTTCATGAAGGCTACTCACCCGGCCTAGAAATAACCCTGCCCGTTTTCCATTGTGCTGTGTGCCCTGTCAGTTCATTTAAAATTTGTGCGCACATCTGCTAGCTGGGTCTGCAATACGAGTGAACTCTGGTCCTCTCCTCTCCTCTCCTCTCCTCTCCTCTCCTCTCCTC